AAGTGAGTAATTGGATCTTCAATTCCAGTTACCTCATAATCTTCCATCCAAGCAGGCCTTCTTCTAACACGGCGAAGAGATTGAGCTTCTTCTTCATTGACTTCAGCAACTGTTGGTGAAGTTTCAGCGGCTGTAGAAGTTGTGTTTGATGAATTGTCGGGCATACAAGGTGCTGAAATTTGCTCCTGTTCAACATCATTGTCATAAAGGACTTGGGTAGGCTGCTGCCTATTCCATTCCCAAATGTTCTCTTCATAAAAAACAACATCCCTGCTGATCACAATCTTCTTTGTCAGTGGATTGAATAATTTATATGCTTTGGATGCTCACTTACACCAAGAAAGACACATTTTTCAGCCTTGTCATCAAGTTTCTTCCTTTTCTCATCCGGGACATGGGCATACGCGATGCATCCAAAGATTCTAAAGTGATCCACGGTTGGTCTTCTCCCACTCCAAGCCTCTTCTGGTGTCATATTTTGAACAGCAAAAGTTGGACCTCTGTTCAAAACATGAATGCTCCAGTTTACTACTTCCGGCCAAAAAGTCTTTGGAACTCTTCCTCTTGCTAACAAGCTTCTCACCATGTTGAGAATGGTTCTATTTTTTCTCTCAGATACACCGTTTTGTTGTGGTGTATATGCAGCTGTAAGCTCTCTTCGAATGCCATGCTTTGCACAAAAAACTTCAAATTCTTTTGAGCAGTATTCACCACCACGATCTGGTCGAAGGGTTTTAATGGTTTTGTCTGCTTCATTTTCAACATGAGCTTTGAAGCTTTTAAATGTAGAGAAAGCTTCTGATTTTTCCTGTAAAAAATAAACCCAAGTTTTTCTGGAAAAATCATCAATGAAGGTAATTAAGTATCTTTTACCTCCATTAGAAGATGGGTTTATTGGACCACAAATGTCCGAGTGCACCAGCTGCAAAACTTCCTTTGCTCTCCATGACTTCCCTTTGGGAAATTCAGAACGATGCTGTTTGCTAACAACACGTTCTTCACAAACTTGGGAAGGAGTAGTAATTTGAGGAAGACCTGTCACCATGTTTTTCTGTTGGAGGGTCTTCAATCCACCAAAACTCAAGTGGCCATAGCGAAAATGCCACAACCATGAGAGATCTTTCATTTCAGCCATCAAACAAGATTGAGTACTTTCAATCTTTAATGGAAACAATCTGTTTGAACTCATATAAACAACTGCAATAGCACCTCTAACAGAATCATAAATTTCACAAACACCCTTCTTAATAGTGATAACATAACCCTTTTCTTGTAACTGACCAGCACTCAATAAGTTACTTTTCAGGTCAGGAACATACAACACATTGGAGATTGTTTCCACAAAACCATTCTTGGTTTTTATCTTAATATCACCTTTTCCCATCACTTTCACAGTAGAATGATCACCAAAACTCATAGTAGAATGATAATCTTCATTTAGGTAAGAAAAAGAAGACTTACTTCCACTCATGTGATTACTGCAGCCTGTATCCACATACCAAATATCTGACTCGGGTTTCTTTTCATCTTGAACAGCCATCAACAATGTTTCTGCCTCCTTTTCGACAAAATTTGAATTCTCTTGCTTTTCTTTATCATTAGGCAGCCTAGTATAACATTCAGATGCATAATGACCAAATTTATGACATCTAAAGCACTCTACCTTGGATTTGTCAAGATTCCGTCCTTTGCCTTTGCCTTGAGATTGGTCATTATTGACTTTGAAATTCCTGCTGAAATCTCTATTTCCTCGATCTCCCCTTCCTCTACCTCTACCTCTACCCCTTCCTCTGAAATTATTGGAATGAGTACTAGTAGAAGCCTTCAACGCTTGCTCCTATACTGCTGAACTTCTGTTCATCTTCTGTTCATGGACCAATAAGGAGCTTTGTAATTCATCAAGAGAGAGTGCATCTATGTCTTTCGACTCTTCAATTGAGCAAACAACATAATTAAACTTTGGTGTTAGGGAACGTAAAATCTTTTCCACAATGATGACGTCGTCCATCTTCTCGCCATGGAATCGCATCTTGTTGCTGATCTCCATTGTTCTGGCGCAATAGTTGGTGACAGATTCTCCATCCTTCATCGCTAGTGTCTCAAAATCCTTTCTTAAGGCTTGAAGCTGTGCACGCTTAACCCTAACAGAGCCTTGATATTTCTTCTTCATAGAATCCCAAATATCCTTGGAAGTTTCTTTGCAAAGAATAGTTTCCAAGATGGGACGATCAATAGCCTGAAAGAGATAATTTTTTCCCTTCAAGTCCTTCAGCTTTCTAGCTTCCAGTTTTGCTTTCTGGGAATCTGTCAAAGCCGTGCCTGCTGGTGGCTCTTGAATTCCAGATTCGACGACTGGCCAATACTCCTTTGACCGTAAAAAATTCTCCATTAGCATGCTCCAATGGTCATAGTGACCATCAAAGCGTGGGATGGCTGCTTGCACAAAATTGGAATCTGTGGCCATTGGATAAATGAAAAATAGATGAAAGAAAATTGTTGCTGCCTCACGTGTGTTCATTCTCAGGGTCTCAAGGCTCTGATACCACTGAAGACTCAAGAACAATAAAAAACTGAAGCGTGAAAAAATCTAAAGAAGAGGAGAGATGAGGCTCAGGCTCTCTGTTCATTCAGAATTTTTAAGTCTTTAAAAATAGGCAATATATGACAGAAACACCACCAAAAAATAGGACCATAACCACCCATGATCTGCATAAACCAATTACTCCACTAACTCCTAAAGACTAGGACAACTAAGAAACAAATCATCAGCTAAACGTGCAGAAAATAACTATTATTTCAACAATTTTAAGTACAACTCGACTTTTTCAAGAGAAATTCAAATTCAAAGTGGAAAATGAAGGAAACGATGTGACAAATGGGATTAAAAACACCGACGTTTCATCTCTCTCCTTCCTTCTTCTTTCCCTGTCCGTGTGATCGCGAAGATCACGGCGAAGATGATGTTCGAACCGGCGAACACCTCAATCAAGACATAACAAGGAAATGAGGCTACCATCATCAAGTTCTTTGAGGATCCCATATTGAAATGCATGTATCATTGGTATCACCATGCCTAACAATTACAAACAGAAAGAAAATAGAAGAAACAAAATCTCCATCCGCGAAATTGCCTGAAAGTGGAAGAAACAATTTCACGTCAAAAAGATGAATTGGCGCTTCTCTCCGGTACTCTCTTGCCGGTGAAAATGACGGACGATGCCGACGACATTGTCGAGGAGATCTCGTTCCAGAACTTCGACGATGACTTCAAATTGCTCGACAACCTCGTCGACAATGTGTTGTGGGGAGAAGTTAGGGACAAGTTCACGGAAAAAAAATTGAGAGGAATCGAATTCAGGTTATTCTAGAAAAAATCAACGATTTAGTCTATCGATTGGTTTTGCCTTACACGATCGTGAGCCGTTTCCTCTTCATTGCAAATTTTAGCACCCAATTTTGCCCCAATTCCTCGGCTGAGGAACACGGCGAAATTGAGGTTTGAAGAAGACACCCAGTTCATCAATTTGTGGCAAATAGCACGCATAAGCGACGTCGTTGAACACTAATATCGCTAAATTCACTTTGCCGGTGAGTAGGGGTGAGCATGGTTCAGGTGGCGGATTCTCACCCTAGAACTGGGAACCACCTACCAAGGACCGATTCCGAAAAATTGAAATCATGAAGGTCCGGTTTCCGGGTGAATCCATGAAACCGGTCCCACCAGTTATGGACGGAGACGGAGAGACTGAGACGAAGACGGAAAGGGAGAGTCGGAGACGGTGAGGTGAGCATTGGCCAAGAAAAGTGAGAGAGTGAAAGTGAGAGTGAGCGTGAGGCAAAAGCAAAAGAAGGTGTTTCTTGGCTCAGTGTGAGGTTGTGACAGTCAAGCGAGTTAGGTTTAGTTTAGGGATTTAAGATTTTTGTAAATTAAAAATTAAATAAATATATAATATTATTATTATATTACCGGTCCAGTTCGAGTGGGTGGTTTCATACCTAGAATCAAGAATCGGACCGGTACCCACCGGTTCCAAAATATTGGAACTGAGAACCGGATCGATTCCCTTAGGAGCCACCGGTTTCAGTCCGGTTCTGGGCGGTCCCGAGCAGTCTGGGCAGTTTTCGGTTCTTTTGCACACCCGTACCGGTAAGCCACGTCGGATGGTTTACCTTAAAATTTTGCCACATCGAATTTTTCGGCCACATAAGTCGACGATAGCATTAAAGTGATCATATTTTTACAAAAGTGTCACTCAGGTGGTTAATTGAAAAAATTAGACATTCTAATGAAGGTTATATGAAAATTATGACACTTCTATTATCCTTTTTTCCATTAGAAATGTGTGGAGAAGAACCACGTTCAACGACTCTAGCAATGGTCAAGAACCCTCCCCCATCTTTTGAGAGGACAACGATGCCTACAGACGGTCGCTTTGTTGCTGGAGAGGGCCGCGCCACCCTCTCTAGTGGTGTATAAGGTTCGTCGACCCACTCCTCCGGCAAGGGTCCTCGACCTTGTTGGAGTTGACCATCATCACTCTTTCTTTTTCCAAGTTCAAAAGTCATTTCTTCTTCTCTGATTCAATTATCTTGTTTTTTTCGGCTATTTTTTAGTGCGTTGGTCAATAATCACCTAGTTTTCCAGAAAAAAAGAAAATCATTATCTTGTTCAATCGATCCAATTTTGTTACCATTACAACAACGATGAGAAGTAATATTTGTAAGAAATAAAATGTTTTATTGCCCATGAGTATTTTTATCACGCACGATTATTTTTAAAAAAGTAATTTTTAGATTATTTATTTTTCGTAAAGCAAACGAACTGTATTTTGTGTAAGGTGGCTTGACCATAGAAGCCCTGGCCTTTGATCTACTACCGCTGGCTCATCTCACACGTCAGCGAAAGCGCGCCAGCGTGGCATCCACGTCACCGGCGCCCCATCTCCTTCCTCCTCATCATCTTCTTCCTTCCCTCTGGGCGGATGATAAGCCTCTTCACCCTCCTCTCCTTTCTTGAATCCCTTCCACTTCCCAGCTCACTCTCCCATGGCGACCACCTCGACCCTCTCCGCCGCCCACCTCTCCTCCCTCCCCGCCCACCACCGCCGCCACCGCCACCGCAACCCCCGCCGCGTCTCCCTCTTCGCGAAACCCTCCTCCGGTTTCCCCAAATTCCCTCTCCTGAGCAACCCCTCTGTTTCGAGACCCTCCGCCGCCGCCGCCGTCCCCAGGGCCGGCGACATCGACACGTCCTTCTTCGACACCGTCAACCCCGACGCCGACGTCGCCTTCGACCCGCCCGCCCCGCCCGAGGGCTTCGTCCCCCCGCCGTCCTTCGACGACGGGCCCCCCGAGGCCGAGGACGAGATCGCCGCCGCGTACGAGGAGCTCTACGGGCCCGCGTACAGCGGGGTCAGCGTGCTGGGCAACGACGTCTCCGTGATGGACTCGAAGGTGAAGAAGACGACCGGGTTCGGGAAGGTGAAGCGGGAGAAGGTGAAGGACGGGTTCGACGAGCGGGTGGTCCAGGTGCGGAGGGTCACCAAGGTGGTGAAGGGAGGGAAGCAGCTGCACTTCAGGGCCATCGTGGTCGTCGGCGACAAGAAGGGCCAGGTCGGCGTCGGCGTGGGGAAGGCGAAGGAGGTCATCGCCGCTGTCCAGAAGTCCGCGGTCAACGCGCGGCGCAACATCATCACCGTGCCCATGACCAAGTACCTGACTTTTCCTCACAGGTAAATGGGCAATTGTTCTTTCTTTTGCCCTTTTCTCTGTTTTTATCATGAAGGTTTTGGGTGTTTTGTGGTAATGTAGCAGTTTGGATGAGTATTGGGTGGTGTGCTTTTGGTGGCTGTGGAATGAATGTGTCTGATTGGAATGAATTCTGAGCGCTGAGTGTGTGTTGTGGTAGAAATTTTGCGGTTCCGATGAATGCTGGGGATTTTGGATAATCAAAAGAGAAAGAGGAGGGCGAGATAGATGCAATTAGCGGAATGTAATAGGGAGAACTCTGGAAGATTATCTGTTGTGTGGCTCTTGCTGAATCGAAATTGGACTTTGTGAAACTGTGGACTTTGTGAGTATAGGCTAAGATGGGTTGTCTTCTTCATCTAGTCGTTGCATCTGCTAATAAAGACTACGAGTGTATAGAAACTCAATGATTGCAACTTGCAAGTTCTGTGTAAGGGAATCTGTTGTGTTGTTCATTCTCAATGTGCACTAGAATTGTTCTTTACTGGAAAGCAGCTGGAGGCATCTTTCAACTCGGCGCCGGTTTTGCGGGAATGTGTTTTTCTAACCTGTTCTTTTCAAGTTTGTCGAATTTTTTTTATAAATGTGAAGAAGTATGGGTTGTTACCTTTGGAGCTTGCAGTTCACATTACAGCCATCATGTGAAAGTTACCGTTAGCGCTGTGGTTTGGATGCTTATTCTTTTCTGTCCATTTTATTGTGCTTAAGAAGACGGGATCATCAGGTATAAATGGCAATCAAGAATGTCAATGACCGCATATTCCTCTTTTCAAAGATACGTGTTCTCTTCCTTGAGGCTAGATCGTTGTGTCGTCTTACTTCTCTTGGTTGTTATCAAGTAGAGATGACTTTGTTTATGTTTGAGTTCGATGGAGATTATGGGAGCTTTCTGCTGCCATATGTGCCGTTACAAATGCTTTGAAGGTCGATACATTCAACACAGATATCGTGCACAGAATTTGGGTATCTTAATAGCTGACCTCAGTTGATGGCTTGTTGTTTGGAGGCTTCATTTGTTGTTACCTGGGGAATTGTGTTATGTATCTTCAGAAAATAAGTGAATGGTTTGGGCAGCATTTATATTTCAAAGTTATTGTCTTTTGATAGAATGAAATTTTCTATGGACGTGTAAAGTTTGTGGCCTTTTCCTTTTAACATTTGACTGTACATTAGGTAGAGTACAGTGTCTCTCAGTTTAGCTGTAGATGCTGGATTTTAGATTGCTAAAATGACAATTCGTATGTAAGTGCTAATGGTGTTAATGGACTGAACAATCATATATCTGCATTCTCCACCTCCATATGTTGAAGCTTTAATTCTCAAAAGCTCATGGGCAATAGTTCAGCATCTTACTTTTATGGGGAAAAACATTCTTGTTAGGATGAGGTTTTCCGGGCAAGTGGTGTAAAGTTTAACTCTTCAGCTTGACCAAGGTAGCCAGATCTGGAAAAACCCCCTGCCCCAAGAGGTTTTGTGTTTTTAAATTTTGGAATATCTGCCAACTTTCTTGCTGAAAGAATGTTGCGTCCTGTGTCATTGAATTATTAAGATAATGCTGTCAACTCGGCTTTTGTCTCAGAAGTATGTTGAGTATTTACTGATTGAAAAGAGTTGAAAGTTTGATAGTGGTGAAATATTTGCTTTCTGCTAGCGACTTTGACCGTGTTATATATTGGTAAATCTTTCGGCCATTATCAGTGGTTGAATTTCACCATAGTACACTTCGTGTGCGTATGTGGTGTGTGTAAACCTACACATGGCTGTTTCTATAATTGGTTATTATTTATGCTAGGTCTGAGGGAGATTATGGGGCGGCTAAAGTGATGTTAAAACCTGCTTCTCCTGGTACTGGGGTTATTGCCGGAGGATCTGTGAGGATAGTTCTAGAAATGGCCGGTGTTGAGAATGCTTTGGGGAAGCAGCTCGGGAGCAAGAACGCCCTTAACAATGCGAGAGCGACCGTCGTCGCGGTGCAGCAGATGAGGCAATTCCGCGACGTCGCTCTCGAGCGTGGAATTCCCATGGAAGAATTGTGGAAGTGATGGAGCCGGCGTGATGAATTTGTATGTAGCATGGCTTCTTCTTCATGATGCCTTCTTACTAGTTTTTTACTTCGATTTCATAAGAGATGATTCTTTTTTCCTTTTGGGGGATTAGAATGTTGTCATCTCTCATATGATCGGCCCTCTGTTACTTAATAGCAACTTGGTTTTGAATCAAAGTGTCACAAAGCTTTTGCCACCACGAAAAGCAAAGCAAAAGGGAGTGTCGCCTTTATCCTATTCCATCGCAACTAAACATAACTTATCTCAGGAAAAGAGAAATTGGTCTGAAAAGTGAAAGGAAAGGCAGGCACCCAGTGGATGTATAACAAGAATAGCCAAGAATGGTTGAGCATCTTCTGATCTGTAAGAATAGCATCTGGAGAGAGAGAGAGAGAGAGAGAGAGAGAGAGAGAGAGAGAGAGAGAGCCCTATAAAATTAGTGAGGGTTCATGACGAAGTTGAGCTAGAACTGAGCATTCGAAGGAAATGAAGTGCTTGTTTCAGCTGCCATGCTGCTCCTGCTTTTGCTTCCTCAAGCCTAAAAAGAGCAAGCACAACAAAGAGAAAGAGGCCAAAGGGGACTAATGCAGCCAAAGAGGACACTCACACATCCAACCATGGATGAATCTCTCTCTCTCTCTCTCTCTCTCTCTCTCTCTCTCTCTCTCTCTCTCTCTTGATGGGAATGGCAATAAAAGAGAGATTGGGCACTGTTCTTTTCTTTTGCCCCTTTTTCTAAAGTGCTGTATTTTTCTTGTTTTCTGAAGCAAAGGGTGCAATCATAAAGAGCTGTTGCACTCAGCTTTGTTGAAAGTGCAAATGGAGCTTTTGGGTTTGGTGTCTCTCTCTCACTCTTCAATTCCACAGTTTGGAATCCGATATTTTGGGGTGATGGATTGTGCCTGCTTAAGAAGCTGACTGAGCTGGCCTTGGTTCAATGCTCCTATGTCTCAGGCAGAAAAGTAGTGCACTTTTTTAGGTATATATATTAATCATACATTTCAAAATGACCCTTTGAGCTAAGCTCTTATATTTAATCAAAGATAATCTCTATTTTTCTTGCGTAAAATTTTTTGTTTAATCTTTTAGTAAATTTTGTGGTGGTGAGATTACCCACGGCCCGATTCCCTAAAAAAAACCCCTATCTTTAAGTTCGATTCCAGTTTTGCCCTGAACTGTTTTTGTCCGTAAAAAACCCCAACTTTATCCGGTTTCAAATCTACCTCGAACTTCTTTTTTTGTTTTAGAAAAAATTTCTCAACTTTAGGTTTGATCCCAAATCTACCTCTAACTTTTTTTGTCTAAAAAAAATCCTCGACTTTAACTTTTGTCTCGAATCCCTCTTCGTTAACCATCTATCCAAAAATTGTCGTTAGATGTCCCTAATTGCTCTAATTTTCATATCAAAAAACCGTTTCAATTTGGAGAAAATTTGCCACATCACCTCGCTGATGTTGATTTTTTACCGATGTGGCAATTTCATGTCAAACAACTAATTGCATTTTTGGACAAAGAGTTAACAAGGGTGGATTAAGACTTAAATTGAAACCCGGTGAGACAAAAAATAGTTTGGGGCAGATTTTGGATTAGAGTTGAAGTTTGTGATTTTTTTGTTTTTCAAACAAAAGAAGTTTGGGATAGATTTGGGACTTAACCTAAACTTTGGATTTTTTAAGACAAAAAAAAAATTACGGGACAGAATTGGGATTATACCTAAAGTTAGGGTATTTTTTAGACAAAAAAAAAAAGCACATAGCAAGATTGAGACTAAACCTAAAATTGGGGAGAATTAGGCCACGTTCCCGCGTAATTAAGTGAGGCAGGAATGGGTATGGAAAATTTGCTCAGCACGGGAGCAGGGCGGGGCTTGGACCGGTCTATCGTGCCGCCGCGGCACGCCATTGTCATCCCTAGTCGATCTAAACATCAAAGTCCTTTATCCATATATTCCCTATCATCTTATCATGCGTTCCATGAAGATGAGTTGATCAATAGCCCAAGCTTAAGACCTTAAGGATGTCAATACTCCAATTGAAGCCTGATCCAGTCACATTTATTGAAATGTTGGGTGGAATATGAGTTGAACAACAACATAATTTGCCAATTATAGCATGATCTAGCCATGTCCAAACGGTTAAGGAAACCTCAAGAAAACAAGGAGCAAGAAACGGTGGAACCCCCAAAATCACGTTGAATCACAAGATCAAGAAACAAACTCATTGTAACCCTCAGAAATCGACTTCTAAACTAGGCATTGCTCTTCCTTATCATCTCTCACCAATACCCTTCAATACCCATCTCTTTCCCTCCTCCAACAGGAAGGGTTGGAGACACAAAAGAAGATCGACACTTCCTTTTGCGAAGCCTTTTCCATTTTCTGGGGAGTTTGTTCCTTTCAGCTGCCGAAATGGGACTCAAGTTTTGGGCCATGTTCCTGCTCTTGTCCTTGGCCGTGGTGGCCGAGTCGTCGCCCTACTCCTTCGGCTTTGTCGGGGCCGGCGACTTGAGCGTGTCGGTGGGCGACTCCATGGACGCGTTCGACGAGATGATGATGGATTCCGAGATCAACAGGCGACAGCTCGTGGGGCGCCGCCGGTACGTCAGCTACGGCGCCCTCGCGAAGAACACCGTCCCGTGCAGCAGGCGCGGCCATTCCTACTACAACTGCAACAAGATGAAGAGGGCCAACCCGTACAAGCGCGGCTGCAGCGCCATCACGCATTGTAAGAGAATTACGGGCTAAAACCGAGAGGGATAACGATTCACATGAAAGAGAGAAATGTGAAGGGTTTAATTGTTTGCTTTGCTTAATGACATTGATTTCCTCCATAAGCTTTGTTTCACACTGATGATTCTTAATTCATTTTCCTGATTTGTATGAAACTGGGTATATCGTATATGCTCAAACATTGGTCGGTTTATCGTCATTTCTACGTCGCTTCTACGACGTTCGCATCGAGTCGATGTTGGCATCATCCTAGAACGAAATGGCTAAGAAATGCTGCTGTCACCTTCACAACAAATTGACAATGTAACAGAACATATCCATTTACACCTCTCTGCACACAAGAATCAAGTGGTTCTTCGATCCATGTGGGCATGCAGCATCTGCAGCAAGACTAGCGAAATCGTTTCTCCTATGGAGATTTGCTTGCTCGTGTTGAACTCTTCAACATCAGTTTTGAGATCAGAATTTGATGGAGCTGACAGATTTGACCGAGAGAGAACACATCTTTAGCGAGTAACTGCAGCCGCGCAGTTAACGTGGGAAAGCTACCGTCATGTCGCGAATAGGGGTGATCGGTTCCCGATCCGGTCCGGTCCCATCCAAGAACCGGGAACCGGACCGAGAGGACCGGTTCCCAATTTTTAGGACCGTGGACCGGACCGACTAGTCTTGGAACCGGGGACCGGACCGGACCGACCGGTCCGGTCCGGTTCAAATGAATCAAATACTTGTAAAAAAAAAAATATGTCCCATGTGGGCTTCCAAAAATATACATCCCCTAATTTAAACACGTGTTATTAGAGAGGCAAAAAAAAAAGAGTAGAACCCCATATCAACAAACTCATCCAGAAAGAATTTCCCTGAAAATCACAGGTGGTTCAGACTCTTGTACGCATTAAAAGAGATGACCAAACTATGCATAAATCATCAGGAGCCCCCCACCACACAAATTAATTCCATGACAGATCAAGTCAGCTAGAAAGAAAGGTACAACACTAGAGAGAGAGAGAGAGAGAGAGAGAGAGCTCACCGACGTAATCTTCTTGGTTTAACGTCAAGTAAAAACCCTTGAAGGCCTTTAAAAATCCATCATCTTCCACCGTAGTCTCTTCACCTCCAACTTGTTCTCCATCAAGTAATCTGCCAAAAAGCACAACAATTTGAAGACGATCATTTATACTTTGGAGGGACATAAAAATAACAAAAATGGAAGCTCACGTGTGACTGCATCATCATAGTGAATTTGGCGGAACTTTGAGGCGAGGCTGCGAGGCGTGAGGCGAGGCGGAAGGCGAGGCCGCGAGGCGGAAAGGGAGACATAAGGTGAGGCCGCGAGAGGACGTCGAGCAAGGCGAGAGGCGAGGCTGCAAGAGAAAAAGGCGATCGACGTCGAGCCGCGAGGCGTGAGGCGAGGCCGCGAGAGGACGTCGAGCGAGGCGAGAGGCGAGGCTACAAGAGGGAAAGGCGTCTGACGTCGAGCGACTCGCTCGGAGCAAGGCGTGAGGCGAGGCGGCAAAAGGGAAACTGGGAAGGCTTGGCTTTGCTCAAGTTACTGTGGTTAGGGTTACCGAGAGGAAGAATTGGGAAAGTAAGTAGAAGGCAGAAAATTGGGAAAGTAAAGTAACTGTTTAGAAATTTTTAAAAAAAATAAAAAAGTCAACCCATTCGCAGCAGCTTGATGGCACACAAAATTGGCAAGTCAGTAATAACAAATAAATTCCTTGAAAAGATAAAAAAATAACTAGCTAATTTTTAAAAAATATGCATAAATGATCGGTCCGGTTCTATTGGTCCGGTCGGTCCGGTTCTCACCATGGAACCGGGAACCGGACCGACCGTCCACCGGTTCCAAAAATGGGAACCGGGGACCGGACCAACACCCCCTAGGCTCGCCTAGAACCGACCGGTCCGGTCCGGTCCCGGTCCGGGTGGTTCCCGTTGCACACTCCTAGTCGCGAATGAATGCTAAAGAAAGCCTCCATATCTATGCTTTCTCCTTTAAGAGAGACGTTCTTCTTTTGATCTCTCCACGAAGTTGTCTCGATTTGGTAACTTTTTGTCATTTGGCACTTAGAGAAATGAAGAATCAGCATTGATGGCTACTCTCCGCCACCTAAATATAGTCAGACAAGCATCAAATGAAAAGTGCACATTTTGTACGACTGCGTCCCTCTTCACGAGGGGCTTTTTCATAATTCGTAAGGTCGATAGGCGTCGTCGGTTCAATCTTTTACATAAATGATGCACGTGAAGTGCGTTGGGGCTCGTATCTATAAAAGGTCATCCGCCGTTAGTGAAAAATAAATTATTTTTCGCAAATAAACTGATACGAGCACAGTTAAAATCGGTATATATGATGATGATTGGTTTTTTATTTTTATTTTATTTTTTTGCGAGGGGGATAAAGGCATATGCGATCCTTGAATTTTTGCAAAATCTGAATTGTTTCTTGCAATTGGGTGCATGCCGTGCACATTTTTTTTTTTTTTGTAAAGTTGGTCGTTCCGTTAAATACGCAAATTGGAATGCTGATGTGGATTGCCATGCCGGCACCACTTCAGCGGTGACTAGACTGATTAAGGTGATGGTTGCATCGTCAAGGCACGGCGACGAGGGCTTGGCGAGTGCAGCCGAGGCGTCGCAAGGCCGTGCAGCAACCGCAGCCGAGACAGAATTTGCCAGGGTTGCGACGCCTATTTCTTAATTTTTTGTTCATATGGTATTTAAGCATTTTTTTTTAAAAAAAAAAACGAGAGACTTGATTCGATAATTCGCGCAGTATTTCAAGTACCTCAAATATTTTTCTCATATTACAATTAAAAAAATAAATTAGTTCGTATACTTCGAGTTCGATTCCCATCTTTAGTTAGCGGGAATCAAGGCTTGCCATCCTTCTGTTTTAATAGGCGCCGTAGCTTTCATGTTTATGTTATTTTATGATGCAATTAAATTAATTACATCTTTCGATTTCCACTTGCTAAAGAGCTTTTTCAATCGATCAAACATGGAATGTACTCCAACCAACACGGTTCATCTTGGTTCAACGCCCATTGCCATCACCGAAGGTACCATTAGTCTTTATTTATTTAGATTCATTGACGAATGATCGAGCACCTATTAGATTAAAAAAAAATAAAGAAAGTTTCGCTATCGAAAGATTTAACTTATTAGTGACGCGTGCAACAGTGCCTGGATTATCAAAGTTTCGAGAAAATGACATTAATAGTCCATGAATTTTTGGCTCAATATATAATGTCTTCCTTGAACTGATCAAAGCATTCGTGCTTGTACCCTGTTGCTAATTTGCACGGAGCTTTTTATCCATACGCAACCCGCTCTCTCTTGTTTACTCACGAACGATCGTGCGAACCAACGGTTCGTGCATGCGGCTCCTTAGCACCGGGCGCTGCGTGCCCGAGTCCGCCAGCGCACCACCACCACCCCATGGCTAAGGATATTACACGCCACACGGACCTTGAGAGGGGCGGTCCCCCCCCCCCCCCCCCCGACCGCGACTCTAGGGCACTCCTTAACCAGACCCGTTTCAATCGCAATAATTTCCGAGGGGGGAGACGATCGGGACCGACCGTTTGGATCAGGAGCGAAAGACCCAAAAACAGATGCAGGGGCACAACACAGTCCCACAAAGAGTCGTCAAGCCTCATTGATGACCCACCAACCCTCGGTCGCTGCAAGAGTCTCCCACAAAGCCATACATTTCCACGGAGAAACAAACGAGAGACAAGCAAACAACAGACCACAAAGAGGAACGAGCGACACACCCCACCATGTTTTCTTTTGTTTTCATCATCACAAGCCCCCCCACTTTCCCTCCTTCCCCCCGCCCCCCACCGTCACTTTCTCATGTCTCCATTCAATATTTTCAGATGGGGGTCTTTCTCTTTTGGAGTCAAAAAGGCTAAGGGGTTGAAGAGGGAGGGAGAAAATGGGGGCTAAAGAATCAAAAGACAGATGAACCCGCTTTTGCATGATTGCTTTTTGCACCAAATTCAAAGGTGACAAACACATCAAAGGGGGGTCTCCCCAGCTCAGGAAAAAAAAAACACAACTGAAGAAATATGAGTCACTGCCCTTCCCTTTCCGCCGCTCCATTGGATGTTGGGTCATCCAATAGGGCGAAAAAGCTTTCTCTCTCTTCTTTTTTTCTTCTTTTTCCCCCCTTTTAATTATCGCCGGGCTTGATCAATCGGGTCGTTCGGATCGATCATAGCCATCGATGAAGATGGATCGCCGTGCACCTCACGCGCTCGTCCGATAGCCTTCGATGGTCCCCCCGATCCATGGGACCGGCCGGTCTACCCGAGTAGTTTCTCCTTCAAAGGGGGTCCCGTTCGGAAAAAGGGATCTTAATGTGGCTAGTTTTGGTATCGACCTAGTCCTCATATCGCCACTCGATCTACGACTTCTCTTTCCAGGGACCCCATTACTCTCGACACTGCCCGTGATCCTTGGCAATTCAGCAATACAATCATGAGATATATATATGCGCACAAACGGTCCATTCTTTGTTTTCAAGATGAACACACGAGAGGAAGTCTCGCGCCCTGAAGAGGCCAGTAGTCGCTTAGAGCAACAGGTTAGAGAATCACTGCAGCACATAATTCATCAATCCAAACACCGCCAACATCGGTCGCTACTCTTTCGGCGCGAGTCAATCGGACGCGGAGCGAAAACGATTAGGATATACTGCTTATGTCATGATGAGCGAAAAGAACACATCTCTCTCACAAGTATGGTCAATCATTTGCTAGCCGTGTGTAACTTGAAGCAAAAAAACACGAATCACGTAAAATATTATCCCAAATTTATAAAAAAAAAGGGATATGTGCACTAGAAGTCCTAAAACTTGTCACAAAAGTGCAATTAAGTCCTAAAACTTTCAAAAAATGCAAACAAGTCCTAAAACTTGTCACGAAAGTGCACTTGAGTCCTAAAACTTTTAAAAAGTGCAAATAAGTCATAAAACTTGTCACGAAAGTGCAAACAAGTCCTAAAACTTGTCACAAAAGTGCAAATAAGTCCTAAAACTTTCAAAAAGTACAATCAATGAAAAGACTTGAATAAACCAATTTGACAAGTTTTAGGACTTGTTTACACTTTCATGATAAGTTTTAAGACTTGTTTGTACTTTTTTAAAGTTTTAGGACTTAAATGCACTTTCGTGACAAGTTTTAGGACTCAATTGCACTTTCGTGACAAGTTTTAGGACTTTGAATGCACTTGTCCTAAAAAAAAAAAAATCATACGATAAATATACGCGTCGAAACATACAAATTTCGAGACTTTCGAGTTTTACGTGATTAGAAAAAGGACAAAATGCATCGAATTAAGTAGAAAAAGTGAAAAAAAAAAATGGAAACTTATGCAGAATAGCGGCAGTATCTTTAGAAGGGTCAGTTACTTGTTACTGATAATTTCATTACAAATTACGTAACTTTCCAAAGCGTTTCTGTTTATAGAGCCCTAACCTAGTTGAAAAGGGCAAAATCCGTTGCCTTACACAAAACCCATTACGAGTAAATCATCCAAAATGGCGACTTTTCCGCAGCTTTATTCTCTCTTTTGACCCTTTTGGCCCCAAGAAAAATCACCACCTTTTATAGCTGCAGACCTCGATTAGACCCTAACAAAAGCTCGCTAATCCGCATCCTAATTAAACACTAATCGAAACAATTTGAAAGAATTTACAGAAAGGAAGACTTCTTGGGGGGAAAACGCTTGCAACACAAGCAGCAATCACAGGGAATTCCTCCTCCTCCTCCTCGGTGGTGGTGGCCTTCACTTTGGCATCATCTCCCACCCCACCCCACCACCACTCAGAAAAGCCAACCGAAGGGTCAAGATTCCTTGCCCTCTCGTCTACTCTTGCTTTGACAGCTAGCCCCCAGAAAAAGTTTCCCATTAACCCTTTAATCTAATCTAATTATTAACCATAATTATGCGCAAAAAAAGTAAAAAAGTTAAACCTTTTTTGCCCCACCCCCTAATCTTCTTCTTCCTCCTCTTCTTCGCCCCCTCTTCTCCTGTTCAATTCCCACCCCCAACTTCCTCACATCACTCCTTGAATGCACAGCAAAAGTGGTGAAACCCTGACTGGACTCCCCGCGGTCTGCAGTGAAGTCATTTCAACGCATGCATTGATTGAAATGAAGCAAAGGAGGAGGGAGGGCCTAATTGAGAAACTCTGTAAAATCATGGAATTCATAGCTTCCGATGATGCTGTGGGGCTAAATTCAATCTAGAGCATCAGGATGCATTCAATACACAAACAAGCCATGAAAAGAAGGGAGGAAATGGAGATCGAACTATACAATTTGAAGCAAGAATTCTCTCATTCTCTTCAAAAAAACAATCGGGTTACAAATTTCCAGCATCCTCCTCATCCTCTCGTCCTCTGCCTCGTCGCCAATTTACCACCAAAAGCATATAACAATTCTTACACAAAATTTAAAAATCTTTTTTTTCCCCCGATTATTTTTCGCTTCACGCAAAGCTCGTTCAATGAGAAGAAGAACCTGAAACCCTGGGCGAGGAGACCGGGAACAGCGGCAGCAGCCGGGGCTCGGCCTCGCGCGGCGTCGTGGCCGGCGACGGGTGCAAGAAGAAACCCTTCTCACGAATCGCCCGCTCCTCCGCCTCGGGATCCAAGCTGGGGCTCTCGTTTCTCTCGTCGGGGTAGTTCGCGGCGGCGGCGGCCGCCGCGCCCGCGGCGGACGATCGGCCGAACGGGTCGTGGATCAGCGGGGTCACCGGGCTGAGGACGAGGGACGGGAAGTCGAGAATGCTTGGGGAGAGGATCTCCGGCTTCCGCGGCGAGAACCCGGGACCGGCCTGGGCCGAGAAGGGGACGAGCGGGTTGATCTTGAAGTTCTTGAGGGAGTTCCGGCGCTCGTAGAGCTTGAACCCGGATCCGGAGCCCGACTTCTTGGGCATTGACTTTATGGGGGGGATGTTGTGGATCTTGGAGGCGGAGGGCGGCGTGGGGTCGGGCTTGGGGGCGGCGGAGGCGGTGGTGGTGGGGGATCCGGTGAGCATCTGGACGACCTGCTTGAAGGAGGAGGTGTCGGCCTGGACGAAGGTGGTCGGGTAGGGGTTGGCGGGCTCGGATCGGGTCAGGGGTTTGGGAGAGGGCTGCTGCGGCGGGGGATGCGGCGGGTGGTGGTGGTGGTGTTGGTGTTGGTGGGGGCCTAGCCCACTAGGGTTAGCGGCGGTTCTTGGGCTGCTGTTGGTGTTGGAGCTGCTGCTGCTGGTGGTGGTGGTGACGCTGTGGCTGGTCGGCGACGGGAGGAGCCGAGGCGGGCTCGAGCTCTCCTGGTGGTGCGGCGACGGCTCCATCTCGCGGGTCGGGTCGGGTCGAGCTTCGACGAGCTGTTGAAGAACCAAACTTCAAGCAGGAAGAGAGAGAGAAGAAGAAGAAGAAGAGGAGCTTGAAGTGGTAAGAGAGAGAAAGAGGAGAGAGAGATTGGTTTTGGGTGGCTTTTGTTTTGGTTTGGTAAGAAAGTGCTGGTGGGGGAGACTCCCGCTTCTTGGTCTTCGCGCGAGCGGTGGCGGCCGCCGCCGCCGCCGGCGGTGCGTGACGCGCCGCCGTGTCGAGCGGGCGGAGGGCGGTGAGTTCGCTGATGATGACGACGGCTTGACGAGTTCAACCTTTTGACCGAGTTTGGACTCGTGTCGAAAAAAAAGGAACTTTGAACCGAGCGCCCTATTGCGTCGTGGGACGCTAATTTTAGAGCCTTCCCTAGTAATAAATATTCCCTCGTTCTTAGGGAAATGAAAATATCCCACCACCTCATTCATGCCATACTTGGATTTCCCTCTCGAAAAAGAAATTTCCCACTTTTTAACTTTTTTGTCCCGATATTTTGATTTCGATACGGTTTGACTTTTTCTTTCAAAGATAATACCACGAAAAAATCTAAATTAATATATCTGTAATAAATTTACCCTCTTTTAGTTTTCGTTAAATTTTACTGTCAAATTTCTGAGTTAAAAATTAATTTTTAAGTAAATTTATCTTAGGTGTACCGATTTGGGATTTTTCGTGATCAAAAAAATTAATTAGGGGTAAGTCTATCATAAAAATATCAGTATGAGGTTTTTCGTGATATTAATCTTTTTCTTTAATGCGAAGTGACTTAATCTTTAAAAGTAGATAAATATCGAGACAAAATGTTGGCTTTTTAATTTCACAGTTTTAGAGGGAAAGCATCAAGTAAGGAGTAGTAATTATTTGGAACAAAGCACCTTTCTTTTTGTTAGAAAAAAAAAAAAAAGGTGGGAAGCTAGCGATCTCCTCTGGATGTTGCTACAAGGGTTTTTACGCCCGCCATGGAATGTTCGGATTGAGCAAGAACTGCTCCCCGTCACCGGCAACCCGAATGTGCGAAGTCGGCGAGCCCATCGTCACAACCCCACCTCGATGCTAGCAGTTCATGAAGTCATGCCCACACGAGACGTGTCGGAACTGGGCAGCACAACACGAGCCATTCGAAAACTCGATCGCAGCTCGAATTGGACTCGCGACCCCGCGTGAAGGGACGGGTTTCCCGATTTCGAATTTGCCCTTCTCGCGTTATCCTTTAGTGGGAGTCTTTGTGGGGGCACATGTAGCTATAGCTATAATAGCTTGTTCATGCTTGATTGGGGGGGGTTACTATTCGAGCAAAAAATGTTCATCGCCTTTCTTTCATTGAGGTCACGAAAGCTGCCCTTTGACTTTCCCACTTTGCTTTTCGGGAGAGAGAGAGAGACGTAGAGGAGATCACCACGGGATGACGTTGGTGATACGTTCAATCGGTTCCTTTGACTTGCATCCAATTAAGGATTGACCATTAAAATTTTACGGCCATTTCTAGAGATTGCGGAGCACCCAAGGATAGATCTCCAAGGTCAAGACTTTACGTGTAAAGCACGAAAAAGATGCATCAAGACACCACGTTTTCGAAATGGCGAATCGATCCCTCGAGAGATCATAGATAGAGAAGTCTTTAATTTTATTCGTCGTTGAAATGGGCATTGTAATTCCCGTTTTTCGATCGAAATGATGGGATTATTACTGAATTTACGATCCTTTGTTCGACGGCTCTACACAAGAGCGGTGGAACGGAATGGAAACCACTGGGGACTATGTTTGAACGTCCTCCCTTTCCGTGTATTTCTTAAATTGTAAAATCAAGGAATTACGCTAGTGGTTTAAAAAAAAAATTGCTGAAGGAAGCTTAGCAAGAATTATAGAAAAAGGGAATATTTTAATCCTTAACTAGATTGCTCAACAAACAATGAGACCCCCAAAAAAAAACAGAAGAAATTTCCACATCCAACTTGGGTTCTTTCATCGTTCTCTTCTAATTTCAACTCAATTTTCAAATTAATATGATTTAGGAATTAATTAATTTAATTCAATTGTATTCTTCGTCAACTGTATGTCGAGTGCGATAACGTTACATTCAATCAAGTTGGTTATAGAAAATGAGAAAATTCACAACCGTGATGCCCGAAGGAGAGAGGAGGGGGGCGAAAAGAAGTGGTAAATTCGACCTGAACACGAGGGCATTTTGGGATTTTCATACTCTGGCCACTCTCATCTTAATCCGGGCTTCCTTTATCAATTTGAGGGCGATGGCTTCTTGGTGGGACCCCCCCAAAAAAAATCTTCACTCATATTTCCAATAGGCCCTTCCAAACAAGGGTATTTGTACTTCTGCCCCCGCAATCCTCTTTCACTCCTCGTTCTTTCCTCCAAACTTTTACGCCTTTTCAAACGTAGGCTTAGATATTGGGGTAGGAGTGTTTTTAGATTAACCCCGACGCGGTTTTGGGAATTTTTTTTTTTTTTTTGCCGAACGGTTCCGGGATTAGCCAACCACCCCCCGGTCGAGTGTTTTTATCCCGATATTTGTTAGTAGGTTACTTGATAGCAAAAAAAGAAAAAAAACCGAAATGTGCGAGTTTCCGCTCTCAACGCATGACGACTTCGATATGCAGGGACCTAAACCCCCCCGAAGGTGGGATTATTGTCCCTTATCAGGGTTCTCTCTCCCCTTAATATAGCTTATAATGCGACGCAGTTATGAGATTCATTGACACCCGTGTTAGGTATTTTGATTCAAATATATGTAATTAGGTTACTCGGTCAAAATTTATATGTATGTGTGTGAAAAATAATAGTAAACGAAAGAGTTCAACTTGTCCATACGTCTATGAGTTGTACACCAACTTTCGAAGACTTTTTGTTTGGTCCGAACTTTACTTTTAAATTCTTCCTTATCGTCGTAATTTTAGTTTTTTTGCTTATTTGTGAAGCGCCTCAAATGGCTTAACACACATAAATACTAATATGTATATTAGTGTATAATTTCTCCATATTTTCTACAAAAAAAATACCCTCTTAATTTCGAGTAATTCAACGTTTGAGCAGGAGCTATTGGACGAACTGAAAGTAAAATCCACTATTCATTTCGATCCGGCGCATCAACATAGGTCAGTTCTCGATTGATTTAAGCCAAAAGAGAAACGGGAACAAAAATGTTCAGACATTGTGAATATTGCTTGACCTATTAAAGAAAGTCGTCGGTTGACTTCTTAATCTCTTTGCAAAAGGACAGCTCAGGCATTGAGGCGGTCGTTGGCCTTTTTTCTTCACGAATCATGACACGGGGTTAAGCTACGTGTTTTGGACATTCATCTGGGGAGAAAGCTATTGGGAACAGAATGAAGAATTAGATCTTAGGGATAATGACACAAATAGTCCCTGAACTTTGACTTAATGTGCAATTCGATCCCTGAACTTTTAATTTGTTCAATATAGTCCCTGAACTTTAACATAATGTTCAATTTGATCCCTGAACTTTTGATTTATTTAATGTGATCCCTGAACTTTTAATATGTGTTCGATTTAGTCCCTGAACTATATAAAAATATTCAATATAGTCCCTGCACTTGAATTAATGGAAGGACTATATTGAATATTTTCAAATAGTTCAAGGACTAAATTGAACACATATTAAAAGTTCAGGGACCATATTGAACAAATCAAAAGTTCAGGGACCAAATTGAACATTAAGTTAAAGTTCAAGGACTACATTGAACAAATTAAAAGTTCAGGGATCGAATTGCACATTAAGTCAAAGTTCATGGACTATTTGTGTCATTTTCCCTATATCTTACACTGTTTGAATCCGGGGCTGCATCTAGCGGAAATATTCAGCAATTTTATATTGATTTAAGCCCCAAAAAGAGAAGGGAAAAAAAAGGGGGTTTGCACACACCCTGGTCATTCTCTCACGTGAAATAATCTTTTTGTGATATGAGAAAAAGAGAGAGCAAATAAAGTGTTTGAAACTTCAAAGCTTAGGAAAAGCAAAAGGTGATTGGCCTGTTTTTCGCTAGCTCGGAGGATCTTTTACAAAAGGGTTGGTATTACTAAAAATCCTAAACTATACTCGTTATGAGAATTGTCTCGGATCTTTCTTTTTTTTTTTTGTGTGCGTCCCCTAAAAAAATCCTAAACTAAGTCCGATGCAACACCGATATCCCGAAATTTTGTCGCATCGCATATGCTCGGGGGTATCGGTGACACGAAGAAGAAAATGGGCACTGGTGTCACATTGGCCAAATTAAAAACTCTAAATCATGCTCAGTGCGACACCAATACCAAAACTTTTTTTTTGATACCGTTGAAATCCACAAATTATGTTTCATACTAGATATTGGCGACATGAAGAAAAAAATTGGAGCACTGGTGGCAACGTGGCCGAAGTTTCAGGGTTTTCGGAGGTAGACAGAGGATATTTTAGCCACACCGATACAAGTTCAGAGGTTCCGACAACACTAAAAACAGGTTTTAGGTATTCGTGTCGCAATATATATAATTTAAAGGGTTAATATCACGAAACACCCCAAATTAGTATACATGTGACAAATTTACCTCAAACTATTTTTTTTATCACCAAAAACCTCACACTGGTACATCTGTGACAATTTTACCCCGAACTAATATTTTGATCACAAAAAACTCCAAACTGGTACACCCGCGATAATTTTACCCCGAACCACCAAAAACCCCAAATTGATATACCGGTAACAATTTTACCCAAAACTAAATTTCTCGCGGTATTAATCCTAATTTAAAAGATTCCATTTTTTGTGGTATTTTCCGGGTCGAAAGTTAAGAACGATTCGAAATACCAAGGGACAAATACGCAAAAATTTTGTAAAAATAGGGGGGGTTATTTTGCAGCATCCCGAAGCGTAACACACTCCACCTCCACGAAAGTCGTGCGGCAACTGCGAAGATAATAAGGGAGGGGGGGGGGGGGGGAGTGGGCGCACGCGCCAGGCGGGGAGCGCGTGGGGCGGGCGGAGTGCCGGCGGGGGTGTTTGAAACTGCCCGAACGTTGTAACGTGCGGCCGCCCGCCGGTCGGCACGGCTCGAAATCTCGGACAGCTCGGGGGTGGTGGGCCCCACCCCCGAGACAGAGGGCGGTCAAAGAAACGTAGTGGGGGGTCGTC